AAGTGCAAAGGTTTTTTTTTAAAAATGCTATCAGGAAAAAAGAAGGTAGATGCTTTGCAAATGGGAAGGGTATGTAGAGGTGGAGTGAAGGGTTTGAATGGGGAGGAGAAGAGAAGTGAAAAGGATTGCAATGTGGTCTGCACAGGTACAAACTCCCCGCGATAAATATATTCATTATACATTGTGAATATGTGCTAATAAAAATTTTAAATACATTAAAATTTATGAATAAAATAGCCATATAGTGAAATATTATTCAGCAATAAAAAGGACTAAAGTACAGATACATGAATGTGATAGGACTGAGCCTAGGAAATATTGTGCTAAAAGAAGCCAGACACAGAAGCCACATATTAGAAGATGTCATGTATATTAAATATCCAGCGCAGGAAGACCCACAGAAGCCCAGTAGTGGCCGGCAGGGACCGGGATGAAAAATTATTCCTATTAAGAAAATGATTGCTAAAGCGTGTGAAGCATCTCTGGAGGACGAGGAGGATGTGCTGGACTTGGTGGTGATGGCTGTGTCGTGCTACGTATTGTAACAGCACTGGAGCATTCGCTCTGCTTCCAAAGCACCACTTTGTGGTACACAAACCACGCATCAACAAACTTATTTTTATTAAAAATATGGAGCTTAATGATTTTTAGGTTTCACCCTATGACAGAGAATAGCTGTGAAACTCAGAAACAGGAACATCTGAGACTGCCACGATGATTCTCTTCCTATTTCCTTTGTTCTTTATAAATTCTTGTTTCACACTTTGGCTTCTTAAAATGTTGTTTTAAAAATAAATGTCCTACTATTTCTTGGGTAAGGGCTTGTTCTGTTTCAGTCTTCCCCGTCTTCCCTACCCGTTTTACTTCACTCTTATGTAATTGACCTCTGTATTAGCTCTTCCGATGCTGCCAGTTTCGTAAGTTGGGGCTTACAAGACTTAATGTAATTAAGTTTATTGGGGTTTTATGTACATTTGTGCCTACATTTATTTATTTATTTTATTTTATTTTATTTTATTTTATTTTATTTTTGGTGGAACCGGGGATTGAACTCAGACCCTTGCGCTTGCCAGGGAAGTGCTTTTTCCACTGAGCCATCTCCCCAGCCCCTTATTTGCTTTATTTTATTTTATTTGTTTGCATAGTGGTGAGGACAAGTACGTTTCTAAGTGGCTCTGAGCCTATGCGTGAATTTTTCTGTCAAATACTTAGTTGAGGTGTCAGGGGTGTAACTCTCTCATACAGTGCTTGCTTTGCAGGCTACAGACCCTGAGTTTGATCACCAGAATGAAAAATTTAAAACTTGCTTAATTAAAAACATTGTAAGAATAAATCTCAGAGAAAATGTGTTTTTATGAATGTCAAGCTATACAGTGTACCAGACCTTTCATTTTTCTGGTATTATTGGCAGCATTTGTTACAAGCTCTTACTCGGAAGAGAGTGGTGGTGTAGCCTGCTGTTATGAGCATCTAGGATCACAATAGGCCCAGTTATGCTGTCTGCTGAATTCTGTATTTCAGACTTTTCAAATGAAAAATCTTGCTCAAATTCCATGAAAATGCAAAGAGAAGGAAATGCACTCTAATACACAAGGCAGGAGGGGAAAAGATCAAAATGTTTATGAGTTCTGAAAACAAAGTGGGCAAGACAGTAATGATAGCTGACTGGAGCGGAAGCCACACCTGAGATCCCTCAAAGGCTCACAGTGGAGAAGACGCCCTTCTAGCTCTTCTAGTTGGAGCCCATGCGGGCTCCCTGCTCACTGTTAGCTGATGCAGAGGGAAGGAATGTGCTGTGTGTAACTAAGGACACATCCTTCCTAGTGACTTTTATAACTGTCACAGTGCTCACCACCAGAGCCACACCTGCTCCTCACCAAAACTACCCCACCTACAAATCACTATGGGAATAAGTCATATTCTAGAAATGATGCTGGACCTGCAGAACTACATATGGAAGACTTGTGTCAAATTTTTACATGAAAATAGGGGTAATTGTCCAACAGCATATTAGTCAAATAAAAAATGGCACAGCCATGCAAGAAAATTCTACCAATCCAATTAATGTTGTTACTATTGTTGTTTCATTGTTTGGATAAGTATAATTGCATCTAGG